TATCAGTGTTTTGAGTTATTACATCCATCGATTGTAAAAGGTGGGTGAATGATAAACGTTAGTGGGTGCAACAGGTTGGTCTGAATTGAAAACGTTTCCATAGAATCCGCAATCGTCTAACGACCCAGTGAGTGGGCGAACGCTTGTCCTCCGTCTCTCCTCCCTCCCTTCCAAGAAATGCTCTCCCGCAGCGCGTCTCTTAAACCCTATACTGGGAAATCCCGTTCATTGTATACCCGTGGCGAGCGTTTTCACTATTGCGAGGGTAAAAGTTAAATACCCCGAGCTACAGCCGTGTTTGTGAGCAATAGGTAGTTAGCTCGCTTCGAAGATCGGCAAAACGTTGTTCCTAAACTTACAACCGGCTTCCAAACATCCTGACCGTAATTGTCACGTATTCGATTAAGCGGCCGTCCGCATACGGAATTTTAGAATCTTAAACCGTAATCGAGTGCAGCACTTCCTGACTGAGTGGAAACAGGCCTACAATGATCTGCTTCTTTACACACCACCCTGCTGTCCTACGGGTTAGACATTAGCTAACCGAAGGCTCTGGTAGTAGATCTCAAAGAAACTTATCTTCTGTCTGAGTAACTTGTGAGTATTCCGCCCATGGGCCAAACGCGAACCGATCACTTCGTTAGGAAAGTGGTTGCATCATGATTTGTTAGACATACACAGTCTGGACAAAGACTAATGCTAAATATACCACCAGATGGCAGTCAAATAATGATCATAAAGCATATCACATACTACACTTTAGTGACCTAGGTCTCCTTAAATGAATATAGACGATCTCGGAGAGAGAGCTTCGCCACACCATGCCCATCCATGCCTAGCTTACTACGCGCAAAATGCACAAAATGAAATTAATCTTCACCTGTCATTACCATCCGTCACACTTGATGTACACCAACCATACTGGCAAGCTACGTTGTCAACCGAAACGTTTGACCACCTCCATAGTATCTGCCCTCTGAAAATGTCTCATCAAAAAGCGCTGTCCGACGGATGACCAGACACTTGTTACACTGGTCATGCAAACTCGTGACTTCATGTGTTCTTGACAGACGACAATAAAACCGCAATAACGGGATAAAAGAATTAAAGTCTGAGCGTAAAAACGATGTGCTTCAAACAATGAAACAAGTGGTGATTGAATGGATACCAAAACTTTGAACGCTTTTCAGTTTCCATTTTTAAAACCAATAGCCATGCACCTTAGTGTGGCGGTTTCGGTCGCTACCTATCTGTATGGAATGGATAGAACGAATGTTATGAGAATAATATTGTAAAGAGACTGAGAATGATACGCTAGTATTTCCGACTATTTCCGACACTCAGCAAGAACACGCGGTGCCTCTCTAACCCCTGTGGGCCTTTCGTATGCGCCGATACTTCATCTGCAATACGTCTGCCAAAGGAGATAGTGCTACTCAAAATGGTCTGATTCCTCTATTACTTCACCGGGTAGACTGAGATTGGAGGCAGGGCCCACTCAGTCCTGCGGCAACACGATTTCGAAACACATCTTTGCTAGTACACAAACTGTCCAGAAAAGCTTGCAACTTACCGCTCAGTTTGATCACATTTATTATTCTGAAGCCTGGTCTTTCAAATACCGGTAAAAGTATGCTTTTAAAGAAGAGAGAGAAAACTAATCTATCAACATATGTTCTGACATTTCGTTTTTCCTTTGAACCGATAAGACCATGTGTGCCAACATTTCCTTTCCTCAGTTCGTCTGTACTCTGCCATTAACCACTAGATTTTACACAGCTCGTAGTTCGAAACATACATCATCTTACTTGACTCCTTGACACGTTCTATGAATAGTACATTACAAACCGCAATTGCTGTTGCAGTTTCGGGCGATATCTCCCAACAGCCGCATCTGGTTGTGAAGTAATAGTAACAAGACTGGACAGCAATGTAAG